CCTCCACAACAAGGACTTGACAACAAGCACCATCCTGCTCTCTATAATCCCCCGCACCTCGCCTCCACGATGCTGACCAACCTCCCGCCACCCTCCCCATCCCCGGCCATGCGTCTCATCCCTGCTTACGCCGTGCCTCCCGGCCACGTCTTTGTCTTTGGCCTTGGCTACGTCGGCCTGCGTCTCGCCCGCCGCCTACGAGCCGCCGGCTGGCTCGTTTCTGGCACCACCTTCTCCGTTGCATCGGCTGAACGCGCCTCAAAGCACGACATTCGCGCCATACACCTCCATCAAAATGCGCCAGCGGCACACGCATTCCTCCGCGAGCAGTTCAAATCCACCTCCCATGTCGTCATCACCACGGGACCAGATCAAAAGGGTGACCGCATCCTCAGGGACTACGCTGACGTTGTAACCGCCGCCTCCGCCCTCGCCTGGATCGTACGTCTGCTAACGCTTATGCAATACCCATGCCACCCTCACATGCGCTTACATGCGCTCACATGCGCTCACATGCGCTCACATGTGCTAACATGCGCAATCACTAACCACGTTCCCTTCTTCCTTCCTTTCCACAGGGATACATCTCGAGCACCACTGTCTATGGCGACCACCAAGGCGCCTGGATCGACGAAACAAGTCCCCCTAAAGCCCTCACCGACATTGGCGAGCGTCGTCTCGCCGCCGAATCCGAATGGAGCCGTCTCGCCACCTCCATCTCAGTTCCCCTCACCATCTTACGTCTCGCGGGTATCTATGGCCCTGGTCGTAACACCCTACGCACACTTCGCGACAATCCGGGAATCAGATCCATCCGAGCGATCGACCAAGTCCTCTCCTTTGTCCATATCGATGACATTGTGTCCGCTATCACCGCCGCCGTCACAGGCTCCGTACATGAAGGGCATCTCACCGTGATAAACCTCTCTGATGATCAACCTGCGCCGAGGAGGGAGACGTTCAAGTTTGCGACAGAGCTTCTAGGGCAAATGGGCATCGACGCGCACGGTAAGGATCGTGTTGGACCAGAGCGTCCAATGCCCGGCGAGAGGTCGGGCCGCAACGCCATGCACTCGAGTAAGAGGGTTTCGAATAGTAAAATGAAAAGCCTCTTACTCCCGCACCTCACTTACCCGACTTATCGCGAGGGGCTGAGCTCGATTACAGGCGACGATATCTGATCCTGGTCAGCATATGTCCTCTAAGAAAGAAGGGACGAGCGATCTACCTCACGAGGGATATTTCTGTCAAGCATTCTTGTCTAGTATTGTCAAAACCGTATTCCATTTCAGTTTAGAACAACAAACCTGCCCCCCCAAGCTCTACTGTATGTCCACCACTTCTGTTTGTCTTTTCAACCATTCTAGTCCTGCCCACCATTCGCGTACTTATTAAACCTTGCAGATCGCCCCTCACCCCCTCCTCTCTCCCCATCAGCATTAGCCGCCCCGTCCACAGCCATCGCGCCAGGGGTGGCCCCTTGTCCAGGTCCGGGGGGCCCATGCCCCGACTGTGGCCCCGTCGGCGCACCACCGTGTGGCGGCATGCCGTTCTCCCGATGGTCACCGTCACCGCGGTGCCTCTTGCCTATAGGCGGATATCCCATATCCGGTCCAAGACCATCCCTACCATCCCTGCTTCGTTTCCCAGGACCATAATACCCATCGCCGGGAGGGCCCCATCCCCTCCCTCGCCCCCTTCCACGCCCTCTCCCTCGGCCGCGACCCCTTGGGAATGGTGGCCCAAATCCACGTCCCCTCGCGAATCCCATGTGCAAAGGCGCAGGTCCTTGCGGGCCCCACATATCCATACCGGACATGCCGGTCTGATTCGCCTTGCCAAATCCTCCGCGTCCCGGGTCGTAGTCCAGACGATGTTCGTCGCGCACCTGTCCACCAGAGCGTCCACGCCCGTACTGGCGTCCCGGCGAATAACCAATGTCATAGTCGACGCGAATCGTACGTTCGTCCAGCTTCGTCCCGGAGATGAAATGGACGCTTTTTTCAGCGTCTGTGCGGGTGAAGTACTCGACAAAGCAAAAGCCACAGGGCGTCTTCTTGATGCGATCCAAGCCCATGATGATGCGCTTTACCTCGCCGACACGAGAAAACAAGTCGAAGATTTGTTCCTCACGTGTGTAGAAAGAGAGATTGCCGACGTAGAGAGTCGTGCTCAGTTTAAGCTTTGACTCTCGCTCCCGCTGAGCGTACCCAAGCAATTAGGAATTAGAATCGGGTTAGTTGACAATGTCTCTGCTGGGTCAGATTTCTTGGTCCTACAAAGTAGCGCAACTCATTTTCGTTAGTGCAAGGGGTATTCCTGAATAACCTACCAATCCTCCTTCATATCGCCTGTCCTTGTACAAGCTGATCGGCTTCCGGGCGGAGGCGTACAAGTCCGCCATTTTTGCAGGCAATGACCAAGGATACGTCAACCTCGCGCGTTGCAAAAACGGGTAAAAAGTTGTGCGCAGTGAAAACCACGTCCAGCACGCAACGGAAGAAACTTGAGCGTGGATGATTTCGGGTAGACAACAGAAGTGAACCAGACTCGGTAGAGTTGATCGTCGACTGTTGAAGCGGGCTTACGTGAACGCAACTGATGCAGTAAAATAGCCCTTTTCGAGAATTTGGCGCGCCGCAGCGAGAAGGCAAGTCGCCACGATAGGCACTTATAAAAACGAGGCGATGACTACGTCTCGCAATTGTACGGGGGACAACGACGCCCGAGAGATGCCGTTGCACTACACACCCACCCTAACGGCAGCCCATGTCCCATTTCAGCATTTACTTTTTCAAGAGGAAATCGAAAAAATAGAGCGAAAAATAAAATAGAAACAAGGGGCCACACGTCCTCAAGGGTCATGCCTGCGCATCGGTATGGTCGTTGACGAACACCGCCACAGCTCGCCCACCACCGCGCCGCACAAAACGGTATTCTTTCTACACGAATTAGCTCGGTTCCGCCGGGAAACAGCTTTGCTCATTTTGTGTACCCTATCATCGCCTCGAGTGCGTAGCGAAAGCGCGAAACGAGGTTCCAAAGGACCAACCATTTGTTGTCTCCTGACCCCTCGATCGAAGCCATATATCTGGCTACTCATCTATACAAAGTTAGTGTAGTTTCGTATCAACAACCACGATAACAACAAAAATATATATAAAAAGCCCCATTAAACGCAGACGACGCCAGCTTCAGGTCAGTCGAATGTGGGCTATTGTACAGCGGTTGCAAAGTAGACCAGCAACCTCGTTGACTGTTCGACATGTGTCTGAAACAGAGCAAAACTGCACGTCAGTTGTATATCCCGTTCTCGACGTCTGCACACTAAAAATCCTCTAGAGCACCATTCTGAAATATCTGCTCACAATAAATGGCATGTGGGGCAGCCATTTTCCTTCATACCAACACCGCGCGCCAATCTACGCCAAAAGCGACGCACTCTCCTCATCCTTTCCACCAGACTCCCCCGACCCGACACTCGATCTGCTCGAAAAATCCGCCGCGGACTCGCCATCCTCCCTCTTTGTAACGCCGACCCAAAGCTGCCTGAGCTGACCGCGGCGTCTCGCGAGCAGCGCAGTGGGCAAGATAAGGGCCGGGACGATATAGAGCAGAGCGGGTTGGGCGGCTTGGAACGTGAAGCTGAAAAAGAAGCTCGCCAGCAAGCCGAACGCGTAGGCGACTAAGCCGCGAGCAAAGTAGCCCTTGTAGAGAGGGACGGATCGATTCCGCAAGTCAACTTCGAGCAAGTAGACGAGGAAGACTTCGGGCAGGATGATATCGCCCAAGCCGAGGAGGGAGTGATGGCCATTCCTGGAGGGGAAGATGAGCTTGGCGGGGAGAGCGAGGTTCTTGACCGGGTCGATGGGCAGGTGGAGAAAGTCTGCGACAGCAGAGGCCGGGTTGACCGGGGTGGAGGTGGCGACCTCGACCATGACGTTCTTGCCGAAGAAGCGGTGCGAGATAAAGACGAAGAAGATGTCGTAGGCGAAGAGGCCCGTGAAGAGGGTGGAGGTGACTTTGAGCGACTCGACTTTACACAGCGAGCCAAAAGTGATGCACAGGGCAATGCCGATGGCGTTGTTGAGCGACCAGTGCCCGGTGAGCAGCCAGAGCCCGATGACGAAGGTGGCGATGGGGGTGACCGTGAGCATCTCGACGGTGCCCTCCGTGCCAGGCACGAAGCCCAGGGCGCGCAGGCGGCGCGCGAGCGACTCACCCAGCGGCCACATGGTGAAGGCGACGGAGAAGAAGCCAGAGATGCAGGAGAGCGCGGTGAGAATGGCGCCGATGGAGTTGAGGAAGAAGAAGAGGAAGACGATGGAGCATGTGGCGATGACGGGCAGCGCGAGGGCCATGGAAGCGCCAAGGACGCGCGAGTTCTCGTCGACCAGCTGTTCGGAGAGGGACGCCTGTTCCCTGTGGAGCGAGGCGTCTCGCGACTTGAAGAGCGGGGCGTTGGCGCGGTAGGCCGCGTAGGCGGCAGTGCCGACGGCCGCGAAGAGTGTTGTGTACGTGGTCAGGTCGGACAGGAGGACGTAGAAGGCCGTCCAGACGGGGACGCGGGCGGCTTGGCGCACGGCTGCTTCCAGGAAGGCCGGGAGCGCGGGCGCGGCGCAGGTAGACATGGTGGAGCGGGTCGAGGGCGAGGAGGAAGTGGAGATGAGATTGATGGGGCCGGAGGAGAGTGTTGCTCAAGATGGGGGCGATGCAAGCACATCTACTTGGGCAAGAGTGGGGCAGACATGGTTTTCAATTGAACCATTGGTGGATGATGATTGGCCGGCATCAAGTGATTGGTACCCAATCACTGACGGGGTATACATCCCACTGCATTACACCACTCGAACACCATTCCAGCTGTAATGTTCCGCTTTTGCCCTAAGTCCCAAAGTCGCCGGCCGGCGCGCCTGCCCTTCTTCCTCGTGATCATCCCTCGCTGTTGCCGCTCGCGATACCAAGCCTATCGAAGCACACCGAAACCGTCGTAACCCTACGCCGCTGCTTGTTTGCAAACACAATTCTCCACGATGGGTCGCATGCACAGCAAAGGGTAAGTGGTCCTATTTTCCAACCACCGCGGGGACTAACCAAGCGCGAACGCGACGAAACCCGTCCTACGATGGATGCCCGCCGCCACGGCATCGGATCATCCGGCCTACATCTCCATGATTGCTGCAGTACTGACTAATCCTCGTGCTGGCGGTTTCATGCATTCCCTCCTTCGCGCGTACCGCATCCACTTGTTTTCACCGCGCGCGCAGAAAGGGTATCTCCAAGTCGTCGCTGCCGTACAAGCGCAACCCGCCCACATGGCTCAAGACCTCTGCGGACGAGGTGACAGACCAGATCTGCAAGCTGGCTAAGAAGGGTCTCGTGCCGTCGCAGATCGGCGTGTATTTGCGCGATTCGCAGGGCATCACCCAGGTGCGCGCCGTCACGGGGAACAAGATCTTGCGCATCCTCAAGGCCAAGGGACTTGCCCCTGAGCTGCCGGAGGACCTGTACATGCTTATCAAGAAGGCCGTGTCTGTGCGCAAGCATCTGGACAGGAATCGTAAGGATAAGGACGCCAAGTTCCGACTCATTCTCATCGAAAGCCGTATTCATCGCCTCGCCAGGTACTACAAGAAGACGAAGCGCATTCCGGCTAACTGGAAGTATGGGCAGACCGTGGTCAACTAAGCCAATGTAAACCGTCTTTCTGCCTTTGTTACGTTAGCGAGCGCAACGCTAGAAAACATTAAAGACTTGTTCTTACTTTTCGAACTTTCTCGACGTCCACGTGGACCCATCAGGTCCGTGGACACGTAGCAGCAGCCAAAACAGCGCACTGTGCATTAGAGGACGCCAGAGCGCCATCTGGACGAGTCCACTATCCCCATGCATTTTAAGACCGGCTACCCCCAAATACCGCCTCCCTGTTCCCCCCACCTATCCGACCTCAACCCACCGCTCGCCTCGCCCGCCTACTCCCGTCCTACTCTCCTCTACCTAGCTCTCGTAAAACCATCTCCTTTCAACATGGACAGCCACAACCAGGACTGGAGCAGAGTTGTCATGCGCTCAAAGAACCCATCCGGCTCCCGCAAGCTCGAGTCTGGACCAGGCAGCTCCGCCGAGCGCAAGTGTACGCCTTCGCACACCAAGCCCCTTTCCAACCCTCGTCCCGCTCCCCACATATCCGCATATCGCTGACACCTGTCCGCCGTCATTTGCTCTCTTTTGTGTGTTTCGTAACGCGCAGTCACCGCCGGCTCTAACACCAAGGCCTCTGGCGACAGCTCCATGGCCAAGCTCGACGCCGAAACCGACGTCCTTGCTCGTATGTTGACGTCACCCTTTATCGTGCCCCGCCCCCAGTAATCCCACGCGTGTCACGTCCCGCCACAAACGTGTAGTGGCCAGGTTTGTTTTTTCGTTCTAACACACCACGTTTTCTGTTTCATCTTTCGGGGGCGCCCACACAGACAAGAAGGTCGGCCTCGGCCTCGGCAAGGCCATCCAGCAGGCGCGTTCGGCGAAGGGCATGACCCAGGCGAAGCTTGCCCAGGCCATTAACGAGAAGCCCGCCGTGGTGAATACGTACGAGAACGGAAAGGCCATTCCGAACGGACAGGTAAGGTTTCCAACAAGAGCCCGGTTGTGCTGTTGTCTTTGTTCACGCCGATGGTGCCACTGTGCCCGACATCCCAGCTGACCTTGATTTGTGCTTGTGGTCGCCGTTAGATTATCGTGAAAATGGAGAGAGCGCTGGGCACTAAGCTGCCCCGCCCGAGTAAGAAGAAGTAGGCCGTTGTCGCGCGTCCCGTCGTATAGTCTCGTTAATCAGTGCTTTATTTGAATGATGCAAGACACAATGTTCATCAGCTGACTTCATGACGTTCACGTCACGGGGAAGAGAATATGAATACGGTAGGTATTAGTTAAAGGATCTCCGTTACCCGCCTCCTGCATGTCCCCTACCAGGTTTCCCATTGCTATTACGTTACCCCCCATTTCCCGGTCCGGCATGCTCTTGTATCCCACTTCGATCCCTTCCCAAGTACTTTTGCAACGCCCCGTCCCCTACCTCTATGACGACGACTACTACGACCACCACTGACCCACCCAACACTGATGTTCCTACCTCCAACAAGACTGGGCGTGGCATTCCTTTGCATGCGTCCCCAGCTCACCCTATTTCCGGCAGTGTCACAATCACATCCTTCAAACGGGTGACCTTCAAATGTGTCCATCATGGATACTGGACACTGGAGAAGAAGGGATGTCTTCATAGTAGCCCTGTCCATCATCACCATCTCCATTAGCGCTACCCCCATCGCCTAAATCTCCCCCTTCTGCTAGTAAATATGACCACGTCATCGGATTCGGCCAAAGATTCGGTCGTTCGGCCTCGAGTTTCTCCACGACCTGCTCCGTTAGAACTTCTGGATGCTGAGCTGCCAGTCGCTGTATGCGAAAATCAGCGTCCTGGTCTCGTGTCTCGGAAAGAGTCGGCGGAGTTGACTCCGAACAGTCTGAGTCTCCGCAAACCGGACAAGTCAGGATAGACCAAGGCGTTGCAGGAAGCTCACCTGTAAAGCATCCCCCGTGGAAGGCATGCGCACATCGCAGTCTGCGCACCACCGGCGCGGCTCCGTTCAATAGCGGCTCTGCCGGTGATAGCGAAGAGACAGACTGCGTCCTTGTCCGCTGGAGGGGTGCTTGACAAAATGGGCACGTCACAGGCTCATGGCCGGGCACAGCGGCGGTGACGTATTCATGATGTACATTATTCAGCTTGCGGAGCACCTGTCGTCGCTGCCGCGGTGTGCGTAAACCGTCACGAATAAGGAAGCTAACGTAGCATGTGGGCACGGCCATCACGGCAATAACAATGAAAATGATGACAAGCGCAACCCGGCGATCCAAATACGACAGGTCTGCACCGATGGTGCTTGCTTTGATGTATACATACATGGGGAGGTAGAGTCAGGGTCTGTAAAACCAAACCTGTGGAGCAAAGTGGACGCGGTTGTTTGAGAGCCCGGGGATTCTGTTAGCCCCAACTTTGCCAACATGGAACTCTTTGGAGTGTTTGGAGGTGAGCGAGGCCATAATAGACAAGGCAAGGCTTGTCTCTCGGCGAGAGGAAAATAAATACGGAGGCCTCGGTTGCGATGAAAAGCAGAGATATAAGAAATGGAGTACACATGTATCCACGTATGTAAGAACTCGGCTTGGAGCAGAGAGACCTCTGACATTTTGCCACGCAGGGGCGGCAGTGTGAACTGTTGGACTCCAAGAGGCTTTTTGGCAGCCAAGGAGCCTATCAATACAGGGGGGTACCCTATTTAGTGCTACCCCGTGTAGCGTGATAAAATAGGCACTAAATCGGGTTTGGCACAAGAACGGTAACTTAACAAGAAGACTGAATATAGTATTTAACTAAGGAAACCCGTCAAGGTCGTCTGTTTCTGCTTCTTCTGTGGCTTGAGAGCCTCAAATATGATGCGTCTAGCCTTGCCCAAATGTGAAGACGCATCAGGTAGCGAGAGAGCTACCGCTGCCGCCTCTAATTTTGAGAACTCATTCGCTGCTTCGATCAAAGAGAGAGAACGAGCCTGAATAGCATTAGAAATCTCCTCCATCACTGTATCTGTATGCTCTGCTTCAGTTCGCCCAGATGAAACACACCTAGACCCATCCATTTCCTCCATAATTCTCTCCACCTCTTCTAGAGCTTCTGTTTCCATGGCCTCTCTGACTTTGAGTTGTTCAACGGCTCAAAGTTGTGCGAGCAACGCATTTGTGCCTATCGGAACTGTAACGGACACAGAAAATCTACCAGTTTTCATATCTTAGTACCAAGCAGAGTGGTGCCCTGTAGCCTGCTGGATGGGCCCGGGGGGCACTTGTTTATCATACCTTTTGGTGTAGAGCAGTTAGAGTAGCACTAAACCGGGACATACACTATATATAGAGGCACTAAATCGGGTACCCCCCTGTAGCCTCCTCTGAGAGATGTCCCGGTCAGTGACGTCTCCCGGATCAGCGATGCTTCATACTGTGCATCAAGAGTGCAGGAATTTGTGGGTTTACGCACGGCAGAATTCCGTAACTAAAAATGAGAAATAGATAAAAAGCAATGCAGAAATCATATTTCGGCAAAATCATTGCAGAAAATTTTTAAAAAGGGCTAGTAGAGTGCCGCTATTAAGTATAAAGACACCCCACAAAACTTCATTGCTGGGCCATTGTGAAAGCTTGTATAAAACAGGACACGTTGCCTTACTGTATTTGGCATGCTGAATACAATGCAAAAAATCGTTTTAAACGATCTCGATTGGTTGAGCTGCAATCGTTAGTAACACTAAATATAGGTGCCATTAAGTATAAACGACAACACGCATTCTCCCGCGCAAAACTCCTTTCCCCTGCAACTCTTGACCTAGGAGCGCCTTCTAACCTTCCATAGGAGGAGCGCTAAGAGCATCTCCACCCATGCCACCGAAAACGTAAAACGATTTTTTTGGGGCCACCTGGTGTTTTTAATCTCCACCGGCACGGACCAAACCCACTGGGTGGCGGGGTGCGCTCCCAAATTTTTTGTTTGGTCCAATTCCAGCCCTAAAATGGAAAACTTTGGGCTACCATGACACCCAAACCTAACCCTTGGGGGCCATTTCTTGCTTCAATAAAACAAATTTAAAATAGGTCGACCTCGGCCGACTTTGTCGACTTCGTGGATCACGAGTTTTGTGTCCGATCACTGCAAGTAGCAAACTTTCGAGAGACGCTGCAGCACTGCGCTCGCTATACTTTATTTCTTTCGCCGACGTTCTCGACAGACGGCATCGAAACTCAAGACTCATCCCCTCGGCGCATGAACCCACAATCTTTCCCATCTTTTATTGGAATACAGCTCAAATACACCTCTTGAGACACAACATGTCCACCCGGTCACCTGCGAATGCTAAGGGAAAGGGTCTATCGTGGTCGGATGAGGAGCTTTTGGCCCTTTGTAAGGCAGCTTTCGTCGCCGGAGGCTCGCCTATTTACGGCACAAGGATGAAGTCAGCAGTATACAGTAAGAAAATAAGGGAGGAGTTCCTGAAGGACAATAATAGGCCGTCGCTTGCCTGCTCCGGTGGTCGAAATGGAGGACCGCTGGATGAACGTCGTTGGAACGGGCGAACGCGAGCGTCTTGTTTAAAGATGTGGAGCAAAGTTAAATCACTCTGTGCTGCTTACCATGACGCCGTGAAAAGAATCAACTCTATGAGCCTGACTGGGGCGCCAGGAACGGCTGAGGTCGAGAGATGTGTGGTTACTGTTTATAATGACAGAGACCTCACGTCTCATGTGTATGACATTATCCGTAACCCAAAATACAGAATCGGCAGACCGTTCCCATACAAGAGTTGTTATGACTTTTCATCCTCCCACACCAGTATGTTGAAAAGTGGAGGCGTTACGGAGAATAGAGATGTTGGAACGCCGGCAAATCAGAGTCCAGGAGATGGGGAGGCGGATGAGTCCGGCATTCAAACAGATGCTTGTATTGACACAGGTGGTGTCGAGAGGCGTGACAAACGTCCTATTGGGAGGAAGGCCGCTAAGAGGATCAAGCAAAAGGAAGCGAATGAGAAAAATTCCATGGAATCAGGTGCAAGTAGGATGGCACAGTCCGTAGAAAACTTCAATGAAGTTCACAGTGCCGCCCATGAGCGCAAAGCGACAACCAAGGAGCGCGAACTGTTAATTGCAAAGAGGCGGTTGGACTGGAATATGGCTGAATCTCTACTTTTTGCGAAGGATTCTGATGCAACTGACGAGGAACGGATGATGGGTAAGCGGCTGCTGCACAAACGGCTTTTAATGTCAATGAATGAAGCAGATTATGAGGGATATAATGCCCAGGGCATAGCAGGAACCTGCAGTAACAAGCTCCGTGGCTCGTCATCTCGAGATGCCTCTCGTGATATACTTCCCAATCGTGATGTCAATGAGCAGCGGTCAGAGGCATCGAGTCCCGATAATATCGAGACGTCAGCCCCGGCGTCAGCCCCAACCATAAATGGACAAACTTCAGATCATGAAGCTGGGCCCACAGAGAGGTCAGGCCAGACTACGAAAAGGGCGAGGGTGGAAAGCAATGGAAAGAGTATGACTGACGATGAAGATTCTGAGGCTGAATTCCCCAACCTTGTTGGCCCACGTGGTCTTAGCCTTTCTGACATGCTCACCCAACCGCCTCGGGAGTACGATAGTGAGATTGTGTAGGCGGAATAATGAGACAAGTGCGCAGTACTTTACCTAGACGGGCGATTGAGAAATTACAACATACGTCAGAGTGCAGCAACTAAATCACTGACTTGAATCACTTTCGTCTCCAACGTGATTCCATATGTGCTCAGCGAGCGCATTCTTCAGTTTCACACGCTCTGTAGTTTTCTCAATGGGATCAATGTATTTGCGCCAGAACGTTGCCTGCTCATAAGTTCCTTCTCCTGTTGATACAATTTGAATATCATTTGGAAGAGTAGTCTCCTCATCTGTAAACTGTAGTATAACCCCCCCCTGGGGGTTTAAATTAGATTAGATCAAGAACTAGATCAGCTACTGTAGAGCCTCGAGCTCTACAGTACCACCGCGCGTGTCCACGTGTACGCCACGGGGACAAGGGACATGCGCATACACGTGCACACGTGTACAGCGCGCGAACGAAGCGCGCACGCACCACGGGTGATATGTGTACTGTCAGCCTCGACATAGCTTACAGTATTACAGTGCAGGCCGACCTGCACTACAGTAGCCCACTAAAGTACCTCGGTACTGTAGCGTTATGATAGATTGTTTTGTATATTAAATACGGAGCGGACCGGCGGCGGCGTAGGGCGACAAGCACGGGCTTGTCCTCAACCGACCGCCAAGGCCAGTCGACCCAGCTTATTCTAAACGTCACCTTCGCTCCTCGCGCGCGTTTAGTCGGAGCCGAGCCGGAGTGGACGCGCAGCACGCGAGCGAGCACGGAACCGCCTCCGCCCGTCAGCACTGGTACGTCACCCAGTGCTGCTCCGGGGCGTCGAGGCGTCGATCCGCTCGTGCGTGCGCGCGTCCCTGCTCGCTCCCGCTCTACCACCGCTACCCGGGCCCGAGCCCGGTTCCGTAGCTGGTTAGCCCGCTTCACCCCTTCTCCGATCCGGAGTCTACAGGTCCAACTGCGCATGCACCTCCAGTCGTCTGGGGGTGTTTATGCTACAGTGGTCTCCCGACCTGGAAGACCCCGAGATCTTCCCGAGAAGACTTTCTTTTTCCTCCGCGTCCGTACGCGTTGAGATGAGTCAAGAATACGCCACCTCGATCCGGTCCGAACCGGCGGATCCGAGGGCGGCCGCTATGCACGCACCATCACCACCGTTCGGGGACGGCGACGCTGGTCTCCGAGACCGCGAACCGTCGCCCGAGTCCCCCGAAGGACAAGCGGCTGCGATGTTCGATCGCATAGCTAACTACATCGAGGAAGTCCGTACTTCACTCCGTATAGACGTGACGGACGCCGTCTACTCGCGATGTATGGACGAGCTCCGCTCCCTACGTGAAGGGAGGTTCGATCGAGTCAGCCAGTCCTTGGAGAATCTCCGAGCACTAGTCGACGAGTTACACTCGCGACTTGTGCTCGTCGAAGACTCACGCCTCGCACAGCCCGTACTGCACGAGCAAGGTCGCCCCATAAGGCCGGCCTCGACGAGGCGTCCCGACGGTCGACCGTCCCCGTCACCAGAGCAGTTGGGTGCGTTCGCGCACCTCTCCGCCGAGCTCAAAGCTACGCGACAGCGTGCTCGGGACATGGAACGGACCATAGCCGCAAGGCTGCCCGGTGCCCCCACGAGAGGGCCCGGTGGTGCCGTACCTCCGAGCGC